TTTGGATTCTATATTTTATGATGTTAAGTTTTGAATTTTTTAAATCTAACCTTAATGTGTTGTGTTGTTCCTTCAATTTTTGCGTGGATTTCCCGTGAGCTTTTTCTCCAAATTCCCGCCGGCAACTTCCCCAACTGTAGCTCCAGTTTTAGCTGGAGAATTCTGCCTACTGGACTCCAACTGCACCTCACCTCTCAGCCAAAAGGCGTGTTATTGCCCTCAATGAGAAGCTGAGTTCGAGCTTGATGGCAGCAGCAGAGCATCCCAGCTCGGCAACAGCACAACAACCCAGCTCAGCAGCAAAGCTCAAAATAATGCTCTAGCTCGGCAAAAGCGAGGCAGTTCAGCTCGGCAGCAGTAGAGCAACCCAGCTCGGCAGCGGTAAAGTTCAAAGCAATGCTCCAGCTCGGCAGCAGTAGAGCAGCCCAGCTCGGTAGCAGCAAAGCGGCCAAGCACAGCAGCAACAAAGCAGTTCAGCTCGGCAACAGAACAACAGCCAAGCACGGCAGCAACAAAGCGGCCCAGCTCGCTGCACCAAAACAGTCCAGCTCGGCAGCGGCAAACCTCAACAGTACTCCCGCTCAACAGAAGCAAGGCAGCCCAGCTCGGCAGCAGCCAAGTAACCCAGCTCGACAGCCGCAAAGCAGTCTCTCAGCTCGGCGGCATGCACTGAGCAAATTTGTAATGAAGCTCGTTGAAGAAGACGCGAGCAATCAACAAAATATGATGATGGTCAGCCCGAATTTGCAACAAGCATCTAAGTTCATAAACAGAACAATCTTAACAAGGCAAGACGAGCTCGAGCTTGACGGCAGCGACAAGCATTCTCCCAGCTCGGCAGCTTGGTAGGAACAAAGCAGCCCCAGCTCGGCAGCAGCAAAGTGATCTCCCAGCTCATCACCACATACCAAACAAATTTGTAAAGAAGCTCGTTGAGGAAAACACGGGCAATCAACAAAATATGATGATGAATCCAAGAGCAAAATCCCTCCAATCAGCTGCTAGGGAACAAAGGCCTATGGTTCCAATGACAGAGAAAGGTGATGGCAGCGTTAGATGAAAGCTCTGGAGGTACTGGACACCACCCTTCAAGATGACAATTAAACCACTACCGGGAACACACATGCTGCTCTGAGAAGCCAGTAGTCGCATCTCATGCTCAGTTGAGAGCAGAGGCATTCAACCGCCCACGTAGCACCACCGAACCATTTGGAGGCTTGAAAAATTTGCCAATAAAGTTGTGAATAATGAGCTGTAACGAGCAAGCCATTTGGAGTTATTATCCCGTGGAAATTTGACAATAACGAGCTGTAAAGTCCCTGCTGCAACACGAGCTGGGAATTGCAGGAGCATGAGAAGCGAGCTGCAAGAACATGAGCTGCAAGCTGCTGAGTTCAAAAGCACGAGTTGCCGAGCTCACAAGCACGATGCAAAACTCGGGCAAGATCTTTTGAGCTGCTGAGCACGAATTGTATAGCACAAGCTGTCAAGCATGAGCTGTAGAGCTCAAACACGAGCTACCGAGCTCAAACACAAGCTGCAGAGGTTGAGCACGAAGTGCAGGGGTTGAGAATGAGCTACAAAGCTCAAACACAAGCTACATAGCTCAACCACGAACTGTAGAGGTCCAACACTTAACTTCTAAGGTCAGCCACGAGCTGCAGAGGCCGAGCATGAAGTGCAGAACTTGAACACGAGGTGCAGAAGACGAGCATGAGTTGAAAGATATGCAGCACGAGCTGCAAGGTGTCAACACACTCAACAAGGTGCCGACACTTTTCCTGCATTTGTCCTGAAGAGTCCGTGTCGGGTTTTTGTCCTTCTCTGCAAATTTTGTTAACGGTAAAATTACAGTCTCGACCCCTTACTTTTAGATTCTGCATAATTTAATCCTCAAATTTCATACCTTTGCAATTTATTCCTAAGAATTATGACATCTTCTAATTAAATCTTTTTCTATATAGAATGAATGTTATATACAATTATGTAAATTTTCATACAACTCATTCAAATATCAATAATATCAAGGCATAGATTCTACATTAATATGTATATAAATTTAATTCATTAGTCATGCATTGCTTTGAAAATTAAAAAAGATGAACTCACAATTTTTTTCTCTTATTTATTTTACACAATATATTTTCTTGATTATAAGACTGGATGCTTTAATTTCTCCTCTTTTCAAGTCCTTGTGATATAGGTTGTCAAGAAAGCAATTGAGCTCCGCAGCAAATTAGAGCTTTGGTCCAAGCTTGGTCCAATCTTATTAAAATTTATTATTAATTGCTTTCCACATTCTTTCCATTCATTCCACATTTTTCCATTCATTCTGCACTTGTGTTTACATTCATAATATCATTTTGCCATCTCATTTTTTATATATCATAATCATACTACTTTACTCATTTGCACTTATGATTATAAATATATGTTGCTATTTTAGAGATGGAAAAGTGCAGGGACTCCATGTGGGGTGGGTTCTAGAGAAATCCCTTTATGATGAGCTCCTCCATCAAAATTATATACGGGCTATGAACAACTCTTCCATCCAATTTTAAAAGGCTACGGGCCCTAACCATAAAGCTCAATAGCCTACGAAGATGATCAAGTAAATTTCTTCTCTGACATCATTTATGAGAGGCTAGATTTTTTCTCTCCACATTTGCTCTTGAGTCACAGCAAGAAGGATTTAACATCATTCGTAAGAAGCTAAATTCTTTCTCGAGTTTCTATCTCATCAAGCACAATTCTTTCTCAA